ATGTAGAGAGACAGAAACAACAAGATATATCTTTCTTTCTCCATTTAAATTTCGTTCATTGCTAGATTTTCGTTTCTTTTTCTCAGTCTTCATTTAATATTTAAAAAAAATTTCAATTTTCTCTCTTTTTTTCCTCTTCCTTTGTCTTTCTCTATATCTTTCTTTACACAATCTCTTTCTCTCTCTTTGTCTATCTTATTATCACTCCATCCCTCTCTCAGTCTGGCTCCATCTACATCTCTCTTTCCACATTTATCTCTACTAATTGTCTCATACTCGATCTCAATTTTTTTTCCTCAGTCTCTTTCCGTTCCTTTATTTTTTTTCGCTTTCTAGTCTCCCTACGCATACTCTTTTTGCTCTTCGATCCTCCTCTCTCTCCCTCTCTGTCCCTTTCTCTCTCTATATATCTATCTCTATCTATCTATCCATCTCTCTATGTCTCTCTCTCCCTCTCTCTCTCTCTCTCTCTCTCTCTCTTTCTCTCTCTCTGTCTCTGTCTTTCTCTGTCTCTTTTTTCTTTATTTCTCTCTTTCTCTCTCGCTTTCTTTACATCTCTCTCTCTCTCTCTCTCTATCTCTTTTTTATTAGTTGGATATTTCCCGCAGTTTCTCTATTTCTCTTTTCCTGTCTTTCTCTTTTTCTGCTCACAATCATTCTCTCGTTCCCCCAAATAATATCGCCTTTCTATGTGATTTTCATCGAGTCTATTATCACTAATGCCGCCTTTATCAATATGATTTAATTATATTTTATAATTACTATTAATTATATTTATATTTTAGTAGAAATAATTAAAATTAGACAAGGCTTGGAAACCACGAAGTTCTATTTGTAAAACCAAGCAAAACTCTTTGATAGTCCTTGGGTTTAGGGTAAAAGATATTTTGGACAAACAATAAAATGTTGATTAGGTGCGTCGAATGCCAAGGAATTGTCAATGATAAAACGGTTAAAGGACACAAAGGGGTTCGTGTTGATGGTCACAGACCGCGATGCTAGACAATGCCAGGGACAACCCTGAAATTAATGCCGTCTGCCCAGCAGCCAGACCGCAGCGTGATGCCCAATCGCCCCACCACTGACCTCCAACCTCAGACACCTCTCAATGTCATTTGCAGCATGCACCAGCGGCAGCTGCTGCAGAAGCCGGCAAACCGGTGCAGGCAGCGCCCAGACCTTGGCAATGAGAGTGGGCGCGTGGCAGCTCAAGAGGAGCTGTCCCTACCAGGAATCGGCAACTGTGCGTGTGTGTGTGTCTGTGCAACGTTCGCTGTGCATGCGGAAATGCGCATGCTTGCGTGTCCTTGCCCTTGGTAGTGAGTCCTTTGCATAGTTGTTGTAGCGAATGCCCCTGAAAACTGTTAACCTTCGTGCAGCGCGAACGAAGGACTTTTGCAATGTGCAACGTACAACGCGGAACATGCGCGTTGCATTTGCAGCTCTCCAGCGCAAAGAGAACGAGAGTGTGAGCAAAAGAAAGAGCGATAGAGATAGAGAAAGAGAGCGAGAAGAGAGTAGAGAGTTGCCACCAAGCCTAAACTACAAATGTATGTTTGGGGTGTCGTCTGGCTGCCCCTGCTTAAAGCCGGGCGTATTTCACAGCTCTGTCATTGCCATTGACCATGATATTTATCCAATGTCAGTGAATGGAGGTAAAACTCGCATAACCTTACGATTCGAGCTTGAACGGACTGGGGGGCAGGATAGCTTAACACTGCACACATAAAGTTCAAGACAAAACTTAATCGTCATTAGCGACCTTAGCGTTGGAGCGAACGGGCGAGCGCCTTCCTTCGCCCAGACGTTCGAAGACGACATTAAAAGACTTTTGCTATTGCTTTCAATTGAACGCTCGAGGGTTGTAACTCCAGACAGACAATCTGTGGCCCCACCCACTCTGGATTTTTGCAATTATTTGTATATATATTCGTAATTTCTATGCTACGGCAACTCCAGGAATTCTATGCCAAACTTTGCAACCCCAAAAACAAAAAAAAAACTCACACAAAGGGGCAACGGCAATAACAACGGTTCCAGACGCAGCTAAAGCCAACTGTGAATATAACTCTACATCCATAGCAACTGCAAAATGCCCTGTAATACAAATATCGCTGCATATGGCATGCAGCAATAATATACAGGGACTTTGAAATACCCTAACTAATTCAATTTAATTCACATAATTAATTTGCTTAACTTTGCGAGAATATTTTTCATTTAATTTACGCTGCATATTAATGCATTTAAAACTTTTTAAACATACCCGATTTAATTGCTCGCCCTTAGGGTATAATAACAGCGTAAATCTGCAGCCCAACACTTCCGTCCTCGTCGTCGCCGTCGTCAGCGTCAGCGTCAGCGTCATAGTCAGTCCCTTGTTCATTGCACCCCCAACGTATTGTACATTGACTTCTCTGGGCTACGCTTTGTTTTCTGCATTCGCCGACGGCAGAGTCGCAACAATGTGCTCTCACACTTGCTCTCACGGCCGCGCTCTCTTTTTACTTTTTGCGCTTCACTCTCTTCGTGCTGAGCGACATTCCCATACCACGACCTACCTTACCCACACCCACAGTGCGCTTTCAGCTTTCTGCGTTCGGCTTTGGCTTTGGCCATTCTTCCGTGCACAACTCCCGCCCAGCCAATGCGACCGGGCGGCAGCAGAGTCTGTTGTTTGTGTTGGTGTCTGTGCTGCTGCTGCTGTTGCTGCTGATGCCGCAGTCGACGCTGCTGCACAAATTCGCAGTTCGGTTTTCATATTGAAAGTAGAATTTTTCACTTTTGCAAATTTCTGTCTCGTTTCAGTCGCGTTAACGACGTCATGTCGCACGTTTGTTCTGCATTTGGTTCTCAACTCGTCCAGTTGCCAGGCAAATCTCACTCTCAGATGCGCTCCGAATGTTATTATTGTAGCCTGCTCTAGTCTACAAATGTGAGATTAACTTTCAATTGTTACGTACAAGTGCTATAATAAATTGCATATCGTCTTGATTGTGTTCAACGTTTGTGTTTGTGTGTGATCACAATGATCACAATGATCACTGTTAAAATGTGTGCTGTTGCATTGAGGAGACAATTGGAATATGTGCTACGAAGAGAGTATAATGATATAGACTGCAAAGGAGAATGTTGCTGATTAACGGTACTATTCCAAACTATATAAAGAAGTAATTGAATTATTGTGCACAGCCAGAGTTAATTTTTTGATGTTCCGAACCCCATCAATCCCATTTGACCTTTCACTATCAGGATCAGTCATTTTGATGTCATCAAAGAAGGACCTCCTCATCTTATTTAGATAGCCTGCCCAAAATGTCTGACTCATTCCAGAGCAGCTCTCACAAATGGCGCCCACTTTTGCACAGAAACTTCAAAACTCCAGACATTGCAACCCTCATTAGGCCCCCCAACCTTCAGTGTCTGGTCCATTCACGGGGCGGGCTGCAACTCCAAATTACCCACACACACACATATACACACATAAGCAACACCCAGCTATCGAAACTCTTCTGTGTCTGATTCTTAACAGGGCGCTGCTCGCTCAACTGTAGCGCCGCTGTAGACGCTCTGTTAAGTGCGCCAGTGACACACACAGCGACAGCGACAGCTGCTGTTAACCTTGCCTTGGTATTGGTGAACTTGACTAAACACGCGCTAGCTGCTGCTCACTCGCTCTCTCTCTCTCTCTCTTTCCCACTCTGGCACTCTTTCTGCTTAGTAGTTGCATTCGCGTGCGCTCTTTTGCGCTCTCTTGCTTTTGAGTTTCTATTACAAATTCTTCGTAATGTGTGTATGTGGAGCGGCGCGTTGTCAGCAATGAGCATTCAGTGTTAAGGTCAATACGTTTGTTGTGTTTGCAATATGTACACACACGCAGGCAAGCATGCATGAATGTGTGCGTTTGTGTGTGACTGCAATGAGATTGCATCCATGAGGTTGCGTTTCGCTCGCTGATTACTTTGCTATTGAATTTTGTCACTGGCGCTTGTTTATGCACTCGTGCATTCGTGTGCGTATGAGTGTGTGCAAGTATTTATTGCTCATTTGTCGCTGCGGTTGTTTTTTTTTTTGTATGTTTGGGGTCAAATTGTGACTCTGACGATTTGACGTTTACGGAAGCTTTTGTTGCTTTTGTATAATTTATGAATTGACTAATGCGAATGCATCAGCTTGGATACGTGCCCCGCTATGTATTTGGGCAACTGAATGAATTGGCACTGAAAGTGCAATAAAAACGTAATAAAATCTGTTTATTCAGCCATATTCTACTTCCCTTAAGTATCTCAAATACGAACCTACCTCAATGCGTAACTCTGTCTGTACGCTAGTCTTTTTCTAACGCATATTGCTCATACGCACTGCTTTGCTCCTTGTTATTATTGTTGTTATGGTTGGGCGGAAGTTGCTGCCCACTCAAACTTCGCCTCGAATACACAGACACACAGCAAGCAATCCAGAGAACTACCCCTATTCATTATTCATTATTCTTATTTTCGTGAGCCACCCCCAACTGGGTGGCAACTCCATTAAAATTTTTGTGGACCCTACTCATGCCACAATTTGTTAACCCCAAAAAAACGAAACTTGGTTTGTGCATGTTTGCCGTTCGTACGCTCATTCGCGTTTATTTTTGTTTATTTATGTTTTGCTTTTTGTATTCTTTACAGCATTTTTGGCTTTGCTTCCTCGTTTGCTTAGCGCAAGCTCACGCTCTCTCACACTCACACACATACACTTGCTTCCTCTCTGTCTCTCTCTCGCTCATTACAGTCGGTTAGCGGGGCTTCCTCGCTCTGTCAGACGTGCCCACTTTGCAGCCAAGCACGCATACAGCGATAGTCACAACGAACGGTTTTCACTTTCATTGTGCAGCATATTCGCCCACTCACACAGATTCTCTCTCGCACACACACAAACCCAGTTGCTCACTCAGCAGGTTTTCGTACTACTCTCTCTCTGTCTTATGTTCTGTTCTGTTCTGTGCTCTCTCAGTGATGTTCGGTTCTGCTCTCAGCCTGCAAGCTTTTTGCGATTTTCAGTTTCAGTCAGAGAAAGTACGGCGCATGCAGCGGTCGCGAATCTAAAAGCGCGTCCATCAATCAAGCATATTAAAAACAGCCTAAAAATCGCCGACGCTAATTAAATATTAAAATTCATTAATTCCAGTTTAAAAAGCAAAAATGTGCAACAAACGCAGGCCGAACCGAAGGGAGCCCGCATAAAAATATTAATAATTCTAATTTGCAATAGAATACCATAAAGTGTGGCAAGTTGTTAACATTGAAATCGTGTGTCCGTGTCCGCGTCGCGCTGTGTCCTTGTCCTTGTGCAGCGCCCAACGGTCGCAGCAATCCAGCCGAACAGCTGTTGGCTGCCAGTTCAAGTCCTCGTGCTCGTCCTCGTCCTCGCCCACGTCCTCGTCCACGTCCTCGTCGCCGTTAGCTGTAGCTGTAGCTGTTGCCTCTTTACCTTGCTCTTGAACGCCGCTGCCTAGGCCCTCAATGTCAGTGTCAGCACCATTGCCACAGCCACAGCCACCGCCGCAGCCGCAGCCAGAGCCAGTGTCATCCTATTGAATTTTCACAAATATTCACTTTTCACATATTGAGCCACATCCAACCACGCCCCCTCCCACAACGCTTCAGCTGCGCCCAGCTGTTGCTGCAAAACTGAAACAAATCGAAACAAATCTCAATACATATATATAATATGCTGCACGAAACAGCTGTAGCAAAATTTCTCTAAAAAAAATAAAAGTATCTGGCCAATAGCAATGTGTTTTAATAAGCTTTACCTGTTAAATAAATGCGTGAATTATTCGCCAGGTGCGCAGTGCAAGTGTCCAACATAAGTGCTAAATACGACAAGGATACGCCAAGGAGAAACACAATAAAAATTTAAAACAAATTCAACAACAACAACAACTAAATAAGTGACATAATCAGCTAAGGTGGGCTGCCCACACTATTTCCCTCTCGCTCTCTCTCTCTCTCGTACTCTCTCTACAATGAAACATTAGAGAAAGAAAAAAAGGAAAGCTCAGATAAAACTCTTTCGAGTTCATAAAACATAAATACATAAATATATTTTTATAACGGTGTTTATAGCCCATAGCAATGCTACAATAAATAAAAGAAGAAGTTCGACAACAACAATATTCATAAATTTAATGCTCAGGTGAAAAATTACTAAAAGAATTATTCAAATAAATATTACTAATTAACAGGCAACTAACGCGTTGTGTTTCATGTGCAAAACATCTATATATACATATATATAAATATATTATTATATTATTAATATACACCTGTACAACATATACATATATATATAAATATTATATTTTTGGAGGAAAATCAAGCAAAAAGTGAATGAATTTAATTAAAATGTTATCAAGCGCCGACTAATTGTCATAATTATAACACAATACTCGTATATATAAAGCATTAATTATAACGGTTTATATAGAAAACTCAACTCAAATCAACTCAACTCAAGTATTCGCCAGACAAATATCAGCAGAACATAAATATTATGTTTAAATAATTGTTTAAAAATATAAACATATTTAGGTTTTCTGCATTCAACAAGCAACTCATCAATCAATCAATCAAGCAACCAATCAATCAGGTCTATAAATTATTTATAAAAGTAAGTGTTCAAGTCTTAATTGCAACTTTAATGAACAAATATCTTATTATAATTAATTACGAATTATTATTAATTATTGCGGAAACTAAAAGCATAAGTAAAATATAAAAAAAATTTAGCTAAGCATGAACTGCATGAGAAAAAACTTTATTGTATTCTATATACTTATAGCTACTTCTATAATTTAATGCTCGCTCACGAGGCGACAGGAGTATATTGGCTTTCGGCTATGTGCGCCGCTAGGTATTTGTCCGTTTGTCCGTAGTGCAGCTAGAGACTTGAAATTTGGTATATAAACGCCTTGGCACACTTATTATATAAAATGTTCAGATCTTCCATAGACACTCACTAGAGGCGTGGCAAAGTGGGCAACAATAATATTAATTCAATAATATTAAAAATGCAATTTATCAAGTTTCTAGAGGCTTGAGTTGAGGAATATTTACAAGCCAAGGAAAGAAATATATAGTTGATATATGTATATATGTTCCCAATAGAGCGTGGCAAATTGCATAAAATTGACTAAAGCTTATAAACTAGAGCAACAATATATCACACTTAGATTGCTGCAGAAAACAGCTAGAGAAATTATTTTACTAATTAATTACGCTCGTGAACGGGTATTATGCAGTCAGTCTGAACGAGTTATATTTTTTTATTTATTTCACATTTTATTATGATTATTATTTATTGAATGAAAAAATGCAAATATTATTAATAAAAAAATAATTTAAATTAAATTATAATAAATAATAATATAAAAAATATAACAGTAATAAAAAATAATATAATAAATTAAAATGTAAAATAACAAAATTAATTTTACTCTTAAAAATTATTATTATGATATGTGGACATATATATCTAAATAATAAAAATAATTTTTATATTTTAATAAAATTAATTAAAATGTTATATAGAAAAAATATTTGAACAAATCTATAACAAATTTTAAATATATTAAACAAATATTATACAATCAGCATACATATTTAATATGTTTATATTTAAAAAAAAATAATAATTTGTTGTTTTATATATTTTAATTTAATTTATTTATTGTTATTATATAAAATGATTAATTTATATTACATATAAAATTGATTTATTTATATATTAAATATATATTTAATATAGATTTCTTTTATTTATTTTATTTTATTGATTTTTATTATATAAAATGTTTAATTAAATGATTTATTTATATATCTCATATATATTTAATATAGATTTTTTTATTTATTTTATTTTATTTAGTTTTATTATATAAAATGATTTATTTATATTATATATAAAATTTATTTATTTATATATCAAATATATATTTAATATAGATTTTTTTTATTTATTTTATTTTATTGATTTTTATTATATAAAATGTTTAATTAAATGATTTATTTATATATCTCATATATATTTAATATAGATTTTTTTATTTATTTTATTTTTTTTTTATTTTATTTATTTTTATTATATAAAATGATTTATTTATATTATATATAAAATTTATTTAGTATATTTCAAATACATATCTAATACAGATTTTTTTACTTTACTTATTTATTTACTTCTACTTGCTCTCCTTCATTGCAGCTACTTAGAATACCTACAACATACTCACATATAAACAGAATAAATACAGCTGCTGTGGAGACGTCGAGAGACCAGAAGAAGTATTATTAGTTATAAACATTGAGCATTCGCAACATACTCAATCACAACAAGGCCTCATGATATATAAATAAAACAAATACAGATATATATAAATAAACATATATATATATATCTAAATATATATATATATATATATATCTAGATCTGGGCAGGTTTAAGGACAACGCTAGAGAAGTAAGAAACAATATTCTAGGAACTACGAAAACAACTTTGCAACTTGAAGGCTGAAAACATTTTGATAATCCCAAAAGAAAAAAAAAACAAAAACAAAAAACACACAAAAATATATATGCAACAAGTGTAAAGAAGAAGAGACTGATTTTTACAAGAAGAAGAAGAAGCAGAAGCCGAAGTTAAGGAAGCAGCTGAAGTGCAGCGAGTTAGCAACTAGAGGCAGAATTAGAGGCAACAACGCAAAAGTGATCCAGGATCAAATCCGACAAGCAGACAATTCGAAATTAGATTTGCAAACATGCTGAAGAAACTAAAGTGCATGGAGGCAGCAGCAGCTGCTGCTGCCGCTGCCGCAGCTGCCAGCAATGCCAAGCACATCAAAACGGAGCCCATCGACTTTGAGCTGCTGCAGCTGGAGGAGCAGGAGCGACGCCAGACGGAGCCTAGCAGCAGCAGCAGCAGCAGCAGCCACAGCAATAGTAGTATAGGTGGCAGCAACAATGTTGCAAGTGGCAATGCGCCGCAGCGCTACACGCATGTGCAGGTGCAGACGGTGCCGCCGCGTCAGCCCACGGGTCTGACCACGCCCGGCGGCACACAGAAGGTGATACTGACGCCGAGAGTGGAGTATGTGCAACAGCAACGTGCCGCCAACAAGCACATCTACGCAGAGGCAACAGCGGCGTCAGCAGCGGCTGCGCCACAGATCATAATAACGCGCACGCTGCCTGCCACACAGTCGCACGGGCATCTATCGAGGCGCCACTCCGCCAGCCCCTCCGCCACGCACTATCAGCAACCGCAGCAGCAGCTACAGCAGCAACGTTTGCCTGTCAGCCTTGCTGCCTCACCGCCGCCACTGCACCATCAGCTAGAGGAGCAGCAGCAGCAGCAGCAGCAGTTGCAGTTGCATCAACGCTCGTCTGCTGTGCGCGTCATACGTGACGGTCGCTTGTATGACGAATCTTTGTCCGGCGGCGGCGGTTGCAACGTTGTTGCACGTCGCCATTCCGTGTCGCCGCCGCCGTTGCATCATCATTCGCGCTCCGCGCCCGTCTCGCCCGTCATCAATAGGCGCGCCTATGCAGAGCAGCCGACGCATGTGCAATACCAACAGCAGCAACAGCAGCAACAACAGCAGCAGCCGCAGCAGCAGAGACAGCAGACGCCACCAGCCACGCCTCCGCCACCGCCGCCGCTGCCACCTCCTGCGGCACAGCAGCACTTTGTAAGCGCTGCTCCGCCCACAGCAGCCGCTCGCAAATTTGTGGTCAGCACTAGCACGCGGCATGTCAATGTTATTGCTGCCAACCACTATCAGCAGCAGCAACAGCAACAACAACATCAGCAACAGCAACAGCAACAACAGCAACATCATGTCATTGCCAATGTCAGCTCCAGCAGCGCCTCGCCCGCCTCCTCCTCCTCCACCTGCCCAGCAACGTCCTCGTCCGCGCACATATTTCGCACGCCCATCGTCTCCAGCAGCAGCAGCAGCAGCAGCGGCAACAATGGCAACAATCTCTGTCAGCAACAGTTGCCAACTCACCATCTTCACAGCAACAGCAACAGCAGCAACAGCAACAACAACAACAGCTCGGCTATGCGGCCACCTCCGCCGCCGCCGCCGCCCAAGCTGAAGCATGCCTCTAGCCTGGGCAGCAGCAACAACAGTCACAGCAACAGCAATAACAATAACAACAGCAGCAGCAACAACAACAACAACAACAGCAGCAGCAATGGCGAAGAGCCGTCCAGCTCAATTCCTGATCTAGGTAAGTGAACCGATTTGCCTTTACAAACACATGCACAAGCCATACAATATAATATAGATATATATATTTATATATATACATATATATATCATATCTATATATAAGCTAACTGTAACCCGTTGACCCTGGACGCAGCTTGTCACACAATGCAAATACTTACAGGCACGCAATGTAGTCGATAGCTTGACAATAAAAACTTTGCTACAAAGTTTGGCAAATATTTAGAACACAAATATTATAGAAATATTAAAAATATTCAAATATCAAAATTAAATTAAAATATAAAAATATTAAAAAATTTCAAGTAAATATACTAAAGCTAAAAAAGTTAGATTGAGCCATGAAGTTTTTTTTTTTTGAATTAATACTAAAAATAAATATAAGATAATTTGATAACTAAAAATGAAAAAAGTTAATTTATTGATAAATTGCATAGGCAAATATAAGCTGTCGAAAGATGTGTTCTCTAATAATTAAACAAAAATTTAATCGGAATTTGGAACTTCAATTTGAATGTGCTTCAAACCTTGTTCATAAAAATAGTAGTGCGACAGAGCGCTAAAATGTGTTCCACAAAATTTGGTAATAAACACCATATTTTGAAACTAATTGCACTAATAACTAATAATGCATATTAAGATTAACATATTTTATTATATATATTTTTATTATATTTTATTATTTATTATAGTACAGCCTTAGGAACATGTGCATTTTAGGGCTTCTTCCAGCCAGCACTATTATTTCCATGAACAATTGATTTTCATGCATTTCTCGAAAATTATAAAAAAAAATTAATTCTGACCAAAAGTAACTGCATTTTTTTTGCTATTCTCTTCTTTACATTCTATTTTCAACTAAAAGTGAGCATTTTTTTATTATTCAATAGAAAATCCCTTTTTATTAGGCTTATATAGACAGCATATAAGCCTAATAAAAAGGGGTGCAGCACTACTATTTTTATGAACAATACTCTATAAGCATTTTACATATTTATATTTAAATATATTAAAGTTAAAGCTGGTTAAATATTATAAAGAATTGAAAATATATTATTAAAAGTATATATTATATATATATTTGACAATCATATCATAGATTATAAAATGTATAATCAAATATAATATGGTAAAAATTAATTAAATTGAATTATTTATAATTTATAACTAAAAATGCTTAACTTTAGTATATCCAATGGCATTTCAGACAATAAATCCCATTTATGTAGTCTCTTCTATATCTGAATAATTCATATATGTAATATATATAGACATTACGCTAGGTATTCAAATCTCTACATATCCAAAAACAATTTCTACACCTAATACTTACTTAGCTTGACTTTAAGCAAACACATTTTACAAAGTCATTCCCATGCTCTATTCATGCCATGTAGCGCAGTGTAAAAGCATGTGTAAATCTATAATTGTGTATTATGTTCAATAGCCGAGTGAATCGACAGTTTATGAAGCTGTTTAACAGTTACTTAGTCAAGTAAAGTAGCTTTCACAGACAAATGAACATATATAGATACGTATGTAAATAAATATATATATATATATATATATATATATATATATATATATATGGATATCGATAGATATATCAGCTAACAGACATGTTGCTCTAACGGTCATATTTACAGTTATAAAAGGTCAGAGCAGATATGATCAACTCGACTATACATTTACTATATATAGTATACAGATTTATAGCGAACTTGGCGGAAATGCTTATATAAGCGTTTAGACCTTTGGCAATTGAACCAGATTCTGCTGAGTTCCGGAACAAACAATAATATTTATTTATGCATTGCACAATTCGTTTGGAATATTAAAAAAGGCGTCAAATTAACGCGTGAAGCGCATTACATCACTCTTGATAGGTATATTTATATATATTTATATGATGTATCATATACATTATATATATATATATTTATTTATAATTTTTATTAGAATTTTTTTTGACTGAACTACGCCTCGCATTTGATTTGCAATTTAATTATCAATTTAAAATTGAAATTGTTTTCGGGCCACGCCTACCTCACCCATGTGCCCGCCCTCTGCTCCAACTCGCTTTTCGTTCCAATTTGTGTATGTGTGTGTGTGTGCTTTTTGTCAAGGCTGCGAAATTTGTCTTTGTTACGTTTGTGTGTGTTAATTTCGTATATACGATAATTCTTTTGCGTGTCTGTTTTTTTTGTTCGTTTTTATATATTTTGTTTTTATATTTGTTGCCGTTGTTGTTGTTGCTGTTTTGACTGCGGCTTTTACCTTGAACTTCAACTGGAATAAACTTGGCGCGCTCAGCTTTCTGAATTCACAATTCACAATTCCTACAGCACCTATAAATAGCTGAAGAGTAGACGACTGGGTAATACCCTAAACTAAGTTGTGCTTAACTCTCTCGCTCTGTGGCTCTCTCTCTATATATGTATTTATATTTCTGCAAAATATAAGCCAGAAATGGGTAGCCCTCAGTTTGCCATTGAGAAAAGTTAATTCAAATATATAAAAATATTTTATATGATTTTTTTATTTATTTAAAATTAATTTGTTGTTAATGTACATAAATATTTATTTATAATTATTTAAATAACTTGTGGAAAGGTCGCTCTTTCGCTGTTTTCCCTCTCTCTCTCTCTCTCTCTCTCTCTCTCTCTCTCTCATTCTACCTCTCTGTCTCTCTCTATTCTTATTAAAATAATTTTTATCTCATATTATCTCTCTGTCTTTTTCTCTCTCTCACGCTCTGTTTATCTTTACTTTTCCAATCAGTTTAAATTAGTTCAATAACCAATTAATAATAGAATAAAACTTATTTAAATATATTTTTGCAAGTTTTATATATTAAATAACAATTCTTAATATTTAATAACCTAAACAAGCATAAACAAGTATGAAATACTTTAATATTAATATATAAAAATATATGCTAAATGCTGAGCTCTGCACTTTATACCAAATATTACGTATACGTATACAGAGCGAGAGATATGCGTTTACTCTATATAAATATATATAATATATACAAAAAAAAAATATATATATATAGTATACATATATATATAATGTTTATTCTACCTTTTCTTTTGATTTGTTTAATATATACATATATTTTTTTCTTCGTAATAACAAAAAGTTAAAATAAATTTGCATTGTTGATGCAGTTAAACCAGAATATTCGTTCAGTCAGCTATCTTTGCATAGGAAATACCTTAAAATAAACATAAAGAAAATATTATAATTTAATTAATTTGAATTTAAGTTTGAATTTGCATACAATATTTAAAAAATGATTTAAATCGAATTTAAATATATATTTTAATTATTTCACTTAATGAAAACTAAATTGAGAAATGAAAAATATATTTAAATTAGCGCTAAATCTGAATTGAATTGTTAAACATGTCACAATTGATTAATAATAATTAAAATATTTTAAAATGCATTGCCAATGAATTTTGTGTTGCATGACATACACGACATATTTAAAAGACTGAAAAAAAATTATTATTATATTATAAATTTGGCCTTTAAAAATTTAATAAATTTAAAATAAAATTAAATTCATGTTTATTAAATATAATATGTATAATTTAACTTGAATTCAAAGTTAAATTTAAACTAAAATATATTATTAAATATCTATGAATTAAATTATATTAAATTGAAAATGGCGCTGAAAACTTAAAATTTTCTTTAAAATTAAATAAAAAGTTAAAGTCACTTAATTAAAATTTAGTATTTAGCTAGACATTGAATATAAGTGAAAAAAATATAAAAATTTTATTTGATATATTTCAATCAATAAAAATTGATTTGAATTTAATTGGAATTTTGTGGCATTTCCTACTCATTTAGCTGTGATTAATTTGTATGTTGAGGTTTATTCTGTTTATTTTTTTTTTTTTTGCACTTTTGATGATTCGACAGTTACCCTGGAAACCTGTTTCACGGCGAAGGTGCCAGAGACCCAGTTAAAAGTGACAGTTCTAGACGACGGCGCAAAGGCATTTTAATGTTATACATATAAAAATTTATATATAAATATATATATATATATCTACATATGGTCAGTCGAGCTTGGGCAAACTGATTTTTTATTTATTTATTTGATTTTCTTTTATTTCTCGCTTTCTTATTTATTTTTTATACTGTCGCTTGGCTAATAAATAAACAAGTCTGGCATTTGTTGCCGCTTATTAAAAGTTAAGCAAATAAAAGTCAAGGCCAACTGGGGTGCTGCTGGCTGCTGGCTGCTGGCTGCTGTTTGAGTCAAGATAGATTTATGTGGCTTTTAAATGGGTCGATGGCTGTGAAAGTGCAGGCCAATACCTGTGTGAACGAGTGTGTGTGTGTGTGTGTGTGTGTGTTACCTGTCTGCTGTCAGACGGCTTGCCATAGCTGAAAGTCCTCAATTCAATCGAAGCGCAGCACAATTTCAATGTCAATGTCACGCACACGCTGCGACGCGCACAGAGATAGATCTCAAGCGTTCGGCTATCAGCTGTCCCACTCTCACTCTCTCACAAACACACTCTCCCTGTGTGTGTGTGTGTTTGTATACTTAATTCGATTGAAAGTCTCGCTGCATGTGTGCGTGCGTAGCAATCAACAGCATTTTGTTTTCACTATTGTTATGCGAGCTCTTGTCCACGCAGACGCATTCGAGGAAAAGCTTTAATGCAGTCAATCAAAACAATGAAATGTGAATGAATTAATAATATTGATATGCCAACACCTAGAGCTCGAAAGGTATGCGTAATAACAGTCGTTATTATAAATATTTATCAATTTCATATGATATTTAGATTTCGATTCGATTTACTTATGATAAAGTAGACAGCAGTTTTTCTTATATTTTTTTAAATTATATTTTTATATTATTTTAAATTTATATTTTAAAATTCAGATAAACTTTCAAAGAGCTCTATAGAGTTATTTCATAATATAATTAGAATAACTCATTTTAGTTACACTTTTCTATGGTCTAAA